ATAATACCCATATGCCTACATGGAAGACCATTTAATATTACTATTCAAATTTCCACACCAATAACTAAAGCCAAAGTTGAAGAAATTAAATATTTTTACCAACTTCTGCAGTTTGAGATTGACCAAACTTGAGATCAAGATGTATTGATGATTATTGGTGATTAGAATGTGAAAGTTGGAAATCAAAGAAAAATTATCAGTCGTGTGAAAATGTGGTCTCGTGATAGAAGTGAGGCTGAAGAACACTTGATAGAATTTTGCAAGATCAATGACTTATTCATTGTAAGTATCTTTTTTCAACAACAAAAACAGTACCTATACACGTGGACCGTGCAAGATGGAATACAGAGGAATCAAAGTGAATACATCTCTGTAAAGAGGTGATAGCGATGGATAGTATATTCAACTGAAACAAGGCTAGGAACTGACTTTGGAATAGACCATCAGTTGGTTATATGCAAGTTGAAGCTGATTCTGAAGAAAACTAAAACAAGTCCACAAGAGCCACAATTTGACCTTCATTATATCCCATGTGTATTTAGAGACCATCTTAAGAATTGATTTAATGTATTCAACACTAGTGACTGAAAGACAACCTATTGAGGTGTGGGATAATATTAAGAAGCAGACTAAATAAGAGATGACATCAAGAACATCATCCATGCAGAAAGTAAAAGGTCGTTAAAAAAACAGGAAAAGAACAAAAGACCAAAATGGATGTCAGAAGAGACCCTGAAACTTGCTCTTGAATGGAGAGTAGCTAAAGCAAATAGAAGAAATGACAAAATACAAGAGCGGAACAGAAGATTTTGAAAGAGTAGGTCAAGAAGACGAAGTCAGTTAGTATAATGAAATGTGCAAAGATCTGTCATTAGAAAACCAAAAGGGAAGAACATGTTCAGAATTTCTGAAGCTGAAACCAAAACCAAAACATTCACGCTGCCGTTGAGCTGGATCCAACTCATAACTACCCCTCCTTGGGTTTCCAAGGAGATATCACTGTGGGAGTAGATTGCCCAGCCTTCCTTCTGAGGAGTGGCAGGTGGGTTTGAACCACCAGCTTTCTGGTTAGCAGTCAAATGCCTTAGGCACTATGCCACCAGAAGAAAGATATGAAATAATTCAAGCCTCGAATTGCAATATTGAAGAATTCTATGGACAACTTTTGGACCTCTGGTGGCATAGTGCCTAAGGCATTTGACTGTAACCAGAAGGCTGGCAGTTCAAACCCACTAGTTGCTTCTCGGAAGGAAGGTTGAGCAAACTACTTCCGTAGTGATACCACCTGGGAAACCCAAGGAGGGGTTGCTATGAGTTGGATCTGACACCACGGCAGTGCGTTATGGACAACTTGACAAGTGCTTGTCTGGGCTTCAGGGCCAGCTTTATTTTAAGGCCAGGCCCCAGAGGAGGTGGACATGCGTTTCACGGCTACTTGGCTGGGCTTAGGGCCTGGTTTTATTTAAGGCTGGACCCCAGAGAGGCAGGTGCAGAGTGGATAGGAACAACTAAGGGAGGTGGACTTGTCTGTCAGTTTGTTGCCCTATGGCAGCTTAGGTGTTGCTGTGACGCTGGAGGCTATGCCACTGGTGTTGCAAGATGCCAATAGGGTTACCTATGGTGGAGAGATTTCAGTAGAGCTTCTAGGCTAAGCGGACTCAGAAGAAGGAAGAGGTCATCCCCTTCTCAAACAGTTGGCCAATGAAAACCTTATGGATAGCAGTGAAACACTGTCTAATATTTAAAAAAAAAAATTCACTGCTGTTGAGTCGGATCCACCTCATAGCAACCCCTCCTGGGGTTTCTGAGGAAGTATCTCTATGGAAGTAGATTGCCCATCCTTCCTTCCAAGGAGTGGTTGGTGGATTTGAACTTCCAGCCTTCTGGTTAGCAGTCAGATTCCTTAGGTACTACTCCAGCAGAGCTCCCTCTGTGTGAAATATTACTGGAGAGCTTTATGAATAGCCCAGAAATACTGTCTGATACAGTGCCAGAAGATGAGTTCATCAGGTTGGAACACACTCAAAATACGACTGGGGA